AAAAAAAAAATATTTAAAAAAAAAAAAAAAAAAAAAAAAAACCTATGGTTTACCTTTGCATCATGTGTTGTTGTTTTTTTGTTTTATGTTCAATAATTCTAAATTTTATGTTAGATTACTTCTGTTTTCCCTTCCTTGAATAATTAAAGTCCACCCACACTTGACGCTTATTCCACATAGAGTCAATGGCTCACTTTGTCTTCCTCACCAAGTAACAATTATTAGAATTCTCTTCTCATTTTTGAAGCCACTAATTCAATATTTGGTGTCTACCTGGTAAAGTTTTTCTGAACTCATTTCTGGATTTATCCCCTCTTCTGCCTAGATAGCTATGAATTAATTTTTAGATACTTAGAAGTAATGTGTAGTTTGTCCATTGTCCAAAATACTACTTGAAGTCTACATATTCACAAGTTCCCTGCTGATAGGGATCTTTTTGCCTCTGAGCCTTTTAATTCTCTGCTTCATGTTCTGAGCTGCCACACACCAAGTATTCGCTTCCACATCAGCTACATGGGATACTCAAAAATGTGGTGCCAGAATCAAGATAGAAAATGACCTTGCTTCATAAAGGTGCTATTGCAGTTGTTTGGGCAACTGCAAACCCAATTTGCTTCTGGTGAGATTACAAAGGCTAGAAGGGTAAGTTGCCTCAAACAGCTCAGAGTGGGAACACAGGCCTGCTTCACCACAGACCACTAGCTGCTTAACTCAGGCTCAGGGCCTGTAGGATGGGCTTTGAGCAGCATGAACATGTGATGGGGATGGTGCAACCAAAGCTAAACTACACTGCTAGAAAAGGAAGCTGCTGGCAGGTGTAGTCACCTCAGCAGGTACCTGACAAATCAGATCATCCTGCATCCACTGGGGTCAGAGTTCCTTTCAAACCCACAGGAGATTCTTCCAGAAATATTTAATGGACACTTTACAGAGGAGTGCAATTTTACTGAACCAGATTACACCAGAGTCAGTGGCACTTGATGTTAACACCATCAGCGATTCCATTTTTCTCCACAGGATGGTCAGAGAAAGGGAAGCACAAGGAAAATTTAAAAAATAAAGTGAGCAAGGTGTCTAGGCTTTTTTATTCAATAGGCTTATTTTTTTTTAATTGTTTTACTAGTGATAAAGAGGACCTCTTTCAATTCATCTTGAGCAATGTGAGCAGTAACAGAAAGAGCTTAGCCATGTAAGGAGAGGAAAAAAACACACAGTGATGTTAATGGAACTAGAACAATTCCCAAAGATATATAGAGGTTAATGCTTTTGAACTGGAAGATAAATAGCAAAGGGTGCCATACCTCAATGTACAGAGTGCAATGGGGTGTATGTTATGGTTTCTCTGAATTGAGGAATGTGACGGGCAGTTATGAAAGTGGTCTGTATTGCAAGATGATGCTTGAAGGTCTGGGGTTCCAGCGATTTTGTGGGTGGAATATCTGAGTAAGGGCTTTTCTTTATTACTTTTTATTGACACTCATACTTTGGTTGTAGCATCTATTCCCAGCTATTGTGGGAGCTGGGGAGACAGGGTTTCTGAAGTAGTCGTGATTACAGAACTCAGCAGAATAGAAATATTACCCAGGACGTGAAGGAACAGTGAAGGATTTATCTTTCTTGCTGTTCAAAATTTAAGTTAAAAGAGTGAGGCTACCCTTTAAAGGAGATGGGGAGATAAGTTAAGGGTACCTCACAGAAATAAAGAGGAAATCAATGGCATGTTTATGAAATAGGTGTTTTATGGGAATAATCAAATCAACTCAGGATCAAAAATCCACATTCAAATAACATTTCCCTGAATCCAGGCCTGATAACAAACCACCAAGCAAATCATAAGCAAATTCTGCAGATATGAAAATGGCAAAATCAAAAATGAGCTCAGGAAAATTTGCATCCACAGGGAGGTATTTTCTTGCATGAGACAATAGTGAGACCAGGAATGTGTTTCCTACTTGGAAATTATTGCAGAGACTCTGAGTCTGTGTGCAGGAAGATACTTCAGAGTAGAAGAATGGTACTCAACCAACTCACTGTTTTCTTCATGATCAGCTTCTTGCTGGAGTCCTTGACAATAATTGTGCAGAGTAGCTTAATTGTTGCAGTGCTGAGCAGAGAGTGGGTGCAAGCCAAAAGGCTGTCACCCGTGGACATGATTCTCATCAGCCTGGGCATCTGCCGCTTCTGTCTACAGTGCGCATCAGTGCTGTACAACTTTTGTTCCTACTTCTACTCTAACTGTGTACTGTGGTACTTACCAGTCATCTGGGAATTTACTAATATTCTTACATTCTGGTTAACCAGTTTGCTTGCTATCATCTACTGTGTCAAAGTCGCCTCCTTCACCCACCCCATCTTCCTCTGGCTGAGGTGGAGAATTTTGAGGTTGGTTCCCCGGCTGTTGCTGGGCTCTCTGCTGATTTCCTGTGTGGCAATCACTGTTTCAGCTACTAGACAACACATCAAGATTCATTTACTCTCCTTGCTGCATTTCCATGGAAACAGCACTGAGACCAAGAGACTTAATACAGCTATGGACAAGTTTTACACATTTCAGCAGCTGGTCTTGTTGGTTATTCCATTCCTCCTGTTCCTGGCCTCCACCATCTTGCTCATAGCCTCATTGTCCCAACACTTGGGGCAGATACAACATCACAACACTGGCCACAGCAACTCCAGCATAAAAGCTCACTCCAGCGCCCTGCGGTTTCTCGCCTTCTTTCTCATCTTCTTCACCTCTTACTTTCTGACCGTAATCGTCTCCATTACGTACATCCAACCAGACAATAATGTCTGGTTCTGGGCCTGGGAAACTATCATCTATGCTATAGTCTCTATTCATTCCACTTCACTAACGCTAAGCAGCCCTCAACTGAGAAAGGTTTTGAAGGTAAGCTGCCACGGCCTAGAGGCTGCCTGAGACACTGGGTACAATGAGACCCTGAGCAAATGGGAGCTTGCATTGATGCAATTAATACTAACAACCAGCATTACTCTTGACAGTCCCCTATGTGATAGGAATGTGCCATAAATGCAAGCAAGCCTCATTCTGTTCCATTTCCACAGCCATTCATCTCCAAACTATCAATCTTTCTCTATTCTATGCCACTCATTTTCCTTTTCACAGTCCCCAGGTTGGTCCCAGCTTTCTCATGACTGCCCCATCTCTCCTTAGTCTTCTCTACCTCTGGAGTTTTACTTCCAGTGTATTATACACAAGAGAGACAAAACCATGGTGCCCATACATTATATTTACTTTATCCTTTCATGATTGCAAGTTACTTCGCACATTAATATAAATAGCTCCCCCGCAAGAATTTATTGTCACACCCTAAAAGTTCCCCACGCTAAGGCCTCAATTAATCAATTTTCCTAAATTTAATCAAGAAAATGCCTGGTCATCTTTCTTTCTCTCTGCTGCTTCTGGACCTTTATCTAATGACATAACTTTTCTTATTTGTTTCTCTTCCAAATAATGGGCCTTTATTCCTTTAAAATTCAAATTAAAGCTTAACTCTTCTTTTATTTTCATTGGTAAGACATTATATTCTCCCCAGAATAGCAAACTACATACTCAGTCTAGGTTCATCCCAGAACATCTCCAAATATTGGCAACTTAACTGGGTCAATTGCATATGGTTTCGGTTGGCAGGACTCTTGCCTGTCTATTGTAATACAATTTGTAATGAACTTTCTGGAAAGATTCCCAGATTGAGGCTTAGCTGATTTTGTTGAGGCGGTTTATCATGAAAGGGTGTTGTACGTTATCGAATGCTTGGTCTGCATCTACTGAGATAATCGGTTGATTTTTATCTTGCATTATATTAATATGGTGTATCACAATTATTGATTTATGTATGTTGAGTCATCTTTGCATCCCAGGGATAAATTCCACTTGATCATGGTGTGTGATCTCTCTAATATGCTGATAAACTTGGTTTGCTAATATTCTGTTGAGAAGTTTTGCATGTATGTTTATCAGTGTTCTTGTTTGGTTTTAGCATGAGGGTAATGTTGGCCTCACAAAATAAGTTTGGAAGTATTCCCTCCTCTTTAATTTATTGGAAAGGTTTAGAAAGATTGATGTTGATTCTTCTTTAAATGTTTGGCAGAATTCACCAGTAAAACGACCTGGTCTTGCGCTTTTCTTTCTTGGGACTTTATATTTTATTACTGATTTCATCTCCTTACTCATTATTGGTCTGATTATATACTCTTCACTACTCCGTCTTGGTAACTTTTATGTTTCTAGGAATTTATTCATTACTTCTAGGTAACCCATTTGTTGGTATATAATTTTGCTCATAATAGTTTCTTATGATCCTGCATATTTCTGTGGTATCAATTGTAATGTCTCCTATTTCATTTCTGATTTTGTCTTCTCTTTTTTTTCTTAGTCTAGCTAAAGTTTTGTCAATTTTATCTGTTTAAAAACCAACTATTAGTTTTGTAGATCTTTCCTATTGTATTTCTAGTTTCTATTTAATTTATTTTTGCTGTGATCTTTGTTATTTCTTTCCTTCTGCTTACTTTGGCCTTAGTTTGTTCTTCTTTTCCTAGTTCCTTGAGGTGTAACATTAGGTTATTTGAGATCTTTCTTTTCTTAATATATACATTTATCACTTTAAACTTCCCTATAAGAAAGAAGCTATAGGTTTCACAGTGGGGCGAGAGTTGAGAGAAGTTTAGCAGATAAGTGTCTCTTTCTTATAAAGGAATGATAAAGTTTGGTGAACCTCTCAGGGTCTTGAAAAATAGGAAACAGCCTGCATTTGGGCTCCTTCCCCAACAGAGGGCACCAATGGCCAGATTACAATAGCACCAGTCAATTAAAACTTAATTTTTATTTCTTCCACCTCCTCAACTCCATGGTCCCATAAAAGCAAGAAAAAGAGGAGGCAGTAGAGGAATGAAAAATTGAATTCCCACTTTCTTCCCTGGTAGTCTCCAACTTTTCTGTTAGACCTAAGTTAGGGGGATAGATGAAGACTTTAATTAGACATAACATTAATGTTTTTATTTAGACTCTTTATAACCTGCAAATGACAAACCTATGGAATCAATGATGCCATCAAGAGATGGGAAAGAATGAATGATCTCTGGAATATGTTTGAAGGCACTGGTAAAAATTTGTTTCATCTGAGCTGTCTATTCAATAAATTTATTACACAAGACATAAAAGTCAGTAAAATGTTAAATACTTCCACATTTTCTCTGAGATTTCTTGTCAGGTACTGTGTATTATGTCCCCCTTATAAAATGACCCTGAGATAAATTCCTTTCTCAGAAGGAGCTAAACCAAAGACTAAGGTCAGAGCTTACCTCTGATAATCCTTAGTTTTCCAGCCAACATGGCCATTATGAGTCTCTTTACCTAAATCCAGATAGAGCAGCTTTAAATTGTGGGCTTGATCACAATACCTTTGTACATAGTGATGAGGAACTCAAGAAGTTAAAAATTTTATAGCTTTAGATACATAGTTAATAGGCCTGATAATTAATGCATGTAGAAAGCTGTTCTTCCAGAGACTGGGACATATGACTGGACCTGCCCTGACTTCAGGAGACCCGAAAACAATTTGACCTTTGTGCCCCAGGAGGACCACAAGCGACCAAGATGTTATCTGAGCCAGTGTGCTCCAGGGAGAGAACATCAGCCACCCAGGTTGCAGATAAAGAATCACCAGTCAGCAGATGCTCGGAAAATCACCGGACTGCAGCTTTTGTCTGATTAACTGTTTTCCCTGAATTCCAGACCCTTTACCTGCACTTTTCTTTGCCGTATAAAATAGGTCAGCTTCAGATGAGATGTAAGACTGTCTTTTTAGAGTGCATAACCCTCCGGCTTCTCAGATTGTGGGCCAACTGAATAAAGCTCCCATAAAGATTCAACCCTCATCTCTACTTATTGGTTCTAGTAGTGACAGGCAGTACCAATACTGACTTTTCCAGTTTCATATCCTGGTGTCGTTGGGACAGGTTCGGGACTCTTTGGTAAGTCTGAGTATTTGGCAGGGAGTCTCATTG